TCCGAGAATGACTCTAATTCGTGTCGGACCTCCAGCGTTTTTCTCCTTTCCGTTCTATTCTGCTTAATTTCCACTTTTGATCGCGTAGATTTCATTTAACGCTACACGGCTAACCTATTCCCGTATCATTGTTTGTTACAACTACGATCACTATGACTCGTTTCTTAATTCTTTATGCCAATTTATGAATTCTTAATTCTCATCGTGCCAACCAATTGCAATTTTTGAAAAGAATTTCTCGAATATAATTTCATGAATAAAATTTCTTTCTTACTAAACTAATTCCTTTGACATTCTCGAACAAATTCAGATCGTTCGGCCGAATTATAAAGAAATTATTTCGTTTTAAAAGATGTACGAATTACTTTCTTACATTCACTGTTTATATGTGTACTGGGTGTCCCAAAAGTCACTCATAATCGGCAAATGAGGAGTTCCTGAGGTTATTTGAAGCAATTTTTTCCTTAGCGCAAATGTAAGCCGCAGCTTCGTTTACGAGCTATTGACGAAAATCAGTGACCAATGAGAGGCGAGATCGACTAACACGAGGCACTGTTTTTCATTAATAACTCGAATGCAATCCACGGCTTTGTTTGCGAGTTGTTAACATTTTCACGACCGCGCCAAAAACCACAGAAATTTTACAAAATCAAAGTATTTGATTCAATTCAGTACAAATCGCCAAGCAAACTTATATGACATCAATTACTTCTTCAACATTCGTACCTCTTGCAAATTTTAATAAAATTAAGCAACGATTTTTCATTTTTAGAAATTTGAAGCGGAAGATTTCCCCATTTGGTCGTCGATAGACTGAATTTAAAACGGAGAGATCTCCTTATTTGGCTAGCTAAATATTAATGAAGAACAGTGACCAATGAGAGGCGAGATCAGCTGGCGCGAGGCAGCCGAGTCAGCCGATCTCGCCTCTCACCGGTCACTGTTTTTCATTAAGAACTCGTGAACGAAGTCGCGAATTGCATTTGCGTTAAGGAAAAAGTCACTTCAAATGACCTCAGGATCCCCTCATTTCTCGAATGAGAGTAACTTTTGGAACACCCTGTATATAAATTTGTTTTTTTTATTGTACTCGTGCGACGGCTACATAAAATTTCTTTATTTTATTTCTTCTTCTATAACAACGATTTTTTACCTCTGTATACATGATTAAATCAATCATTATTATTATCATTATTAATATTATTATTATTATTAATTCAAATTATTAATATATTTCCGTACATATTTCGGAAACGAAGACCAATCGATCAAGGGATTGATAACATTTTTCGCTCAGAACGATCGGCCGAACATGTTAACACAGTTTGTCGATTTCAATCTGGAACACCCTGTATATGGATAACGTAACAGTCAACGTTTTCATCGTCGCGTCTTCGTTACACTATCTAGTCACTTAAAAGAATTTTTGTACAGTTGGTACACTTGTAAGGTAAAAATTTTAGCGACAATCATATTCCCGTCAAACAAACGAAAACATAAAAATCACTGCAAAATCCACCTCGATATTTGCTTCTCTAAATCCTGTCTACCGGCATGTGCATTTGCATAAACTCTGCGCAGCATGGTGTCGTTAAAATTGGACCCGGCGAATGCTGACGCGATCAGAAACGTCCGAATCCACACGAATCGCGATCGATTGCGCAAACAGATCGATCGTCCGGTTTAAAGTTCCGTGGCCGCAAATCCGAGTTTCCCGCTATCGCGATCCTCTCGATAGAATCGCGTTTTCCCCTGAACCGATCCTGATTATCCAGGATTGAAGGGATTCGACATCGGCTGGCGGTAACAATGATCCAAAGAACCGGCCATCGCTTTTTTCCCCGGTGCACGGCAGGCTATTCGTCGGATTTAGCCGGTCAAAAGTCGATTTTGTTACACTGGTCGTAGGTTTCAAATATTCTGTCAATAATTTTCATTTGTTCGTAATTAAGTTTTATTCGTTTCCAATTACTTTTATTTTTTTCTAATTACTTCTACACGTTTCCAATTATTTTTATACGTTTCCAGTTAGTTTTATTCGTTTCTAATTAGTTTTATACGTTTCTAATATTAATTTTATTCGTTTCTGATTATATTTATTCGTTTCTAATTGGTTCTATTCGTTTTTAATTATTTTTATTCGTTTCTAATTATCTTTACTCGTTTACAATCATTTTTATTTCTTTCTAATTACTTTTATTCGTTTCTAATTTATTGTATACGTTTCTAATTATTTTTATTCGCTTCTAATTGGTTCTTTTCCTTTCTAATTATTTTTATTCAGTTCTAATTATTTTTACTCGTTTCTAATTATTTTTATTCGGTTCTAATTATTTTTATACGTTTCTAATTCGTTTTATTCGTTTCTAATTATATTCATTTGTTTCTAATTAGTTTTATTCGTTTTTAATTATTTTTATTCGTTTCTAATTATTTTTACTCATTTACAATTATTTTTATTTCTTTCTAATTATTTTTATTCGTTTCTAATTATTTATTCTAAGGTAGACCACTATAAATTAGTTAGCACGCACATTTCAGACACGTTAATTAAGGAGAAATTAATTT